TTTTAACCAAGTCCGTGACAACAATAATTATAATGGTTGAACAAAATTAATAATCATCATTTCAAAAGAATTAAGCTATTTAAATATATTATTTTGGAAACTGAGAAGTTGGAGATTGTGAATATTTCTATTGAGGCTACCGCTCCTCGATATGACACATCGTTTTTCAGTCAGTGTGTGTAGAGGAATTAAATGATTGGTTTCTCACTATGTCTAAAATTATAATTTAAAAAATATGTAAAAGAACAATACATTATAATTTTTACCGCACCAATTACAAAAATTGTCAAAGGCAGCAAGTGAAGAATAAACCAGAATTTAGAAAATAAGGAAGTTTTGAGATTCATTATGTTTAAGTGAAATACGGTACATGCTTACAGGGGTGTTTATCAATGGAACGGAGTGTGCACAAGATCCCCCTACCCCACTTTTGGGCATCTCTGGATCCGCCCCTACACTGAAGAAGGGGCGCCTCGTAATCGTCTAGGGGCCGGCCCCAATAACACTCCTCGCGCCTCGAGACCTCAGTGACTAACGCCTAGGCCTACATGTTAAAATCAGTTTTTGCAATTAATTTCTACAGTAGGTCCTACTTACATTAGTAAGATAGTTTTCAAAGAAAATAGCGAATATGTGCGAATACTGAGCAGGCTGGAGCAGGGGGGGGGGTCACCCAGTTGATCTGAGCGGGGTCAGTCACGGTATCATTTAAATTTTTTCCCCGACCAGGGGCCGGTGGGGGAGCTAGGCTTCCCGACCGGAGAGGAGGTTTGGACCCGGCTCTCTGGGAATTCCTGGCGCCTGGTTTGATTTGGCCTAGGACCTAACTAGGCTTACCGTAGTTACGGATTGGCGCCAGCGGATTGGGGGGGCGGGCAGGACTCCCGCCTCCCCCGTTGGGAAGAAAAACCACAATTCGTTGGGGAGAAAAAAAATTACAGTAGGCCTATGATAGGCCTGGCCTGTACTGTATAGGTATGTTTTACAATGTAGACTCTCTCGATACTAGGGTAATTTTTCGGGAGCTTCACCCTGGACCAGTTTGAAACATTTAAGCGACGCTCGACAACGCCGCCCACTTTGCTCTCATCGGGAAAATCTTTCCCCCCTCGTCGTCGGGGCATCGATCCCCCCTCCCCCAGTCTTTCATTTCTTTAGATGGGCCTATAAGATTTTGATGTATAGGCCTATTGTATTTTGTTTAATTTTTATATTTATTGTGATGAGTAGGCCTATGTTAAATTGTTTTATTGTATTAAAGCATAGGAATTAGCTTCCACTCTAGTCTAGTTGCAGGTGTTCGAATTTTCCCGCCAACGCATATCGTACTCGCGTTGTTAAAAATGTATATTGCGTCATTGGTGTTGTGCAATGAGCTGAGAAATGTGTAGGTGTTACCGGCCGACGTGAAATGGTCCTTACCATAAAACCTAAACTACCTTACCCACAATGCTCAGCGTTTGCCACATTAAGAATACAAAGGGTCAAAGATATTTTTAATTTACAACCGTTTCCTTAGGTAAAAGTCTATTCGTGAGAAAAAAAATGACTGAACGTGTTTACAAATCTATACGACCGCTTATTTTACGTAAATATTTTTGGGGTAAATTCATTCGTAGTCTAGAAAGTATACCAACGTCCTGATAGTGAATAATTATACTTAGTTTACTGAGAGGTAGAAAAAGAAATGCCGCGAAAAAAGAGAAATAATAAGAGAGGTAAGTAAAGTAGGCTAGGCTGACCTGACTGGCCAAAAAAAGGCATGGCGATGATGTACAGAGTCTAGTAGGCTACCCGTATACGATACGTGTGTGGCGAGGTGGTGGAGATGTAATGTTACATGCTGGAGTGTTTACAAGTAGTAGTAGTATTCTTTCTAGCCTATGGTGCTGTGATTTGTTAATGTTATAGCACTTGCTTAAGCCTGCTTTTTATTCATTAGTTGTGTACCGGCTTTATTTATTTTCGTGTGAGATGGTAATCTAATATCAAATCTATGAAGGCATATGGACCTACAGCCTACAGTAGGCCTACATACAGTAGGCCTCCAAATGGCACCTGTCTGCTTGCTTTTTTATTTTTAGGCTTCGTCGTATGCCCTCTCTTCTTGTCGTGTGACAGAAGATGGCCCATTAGACGATTGGGCTCAGGACGATCGGGCCCTCTTTCAATGTTCATTCTGATTCATTCCGTTGTATTCTAAATTTATTTAACATACAATCATATTAAGAATCGTAATTACAATGATCATATATTTATTTTATTTTATTATATTGATATGTCAAACATAAATAAATACATGTGATGACAGCCATGGACTGAAATGATTTTGCCTACAGACGATCGGGCAAAGGATGGTTGGGACAATTTACAGACTCAACATTTTCAGGACGATCAGGTCCGCTTTCGAAATTTTCCATGATGTATGGAACACATTTTGTATACCTCCCTCACTATTCAGTCTTTGATGTTATGAAAATAACTAACTAATGGCACATAGAAAAAATTGTTAAAAAATTGGGAAATATTGATAGGGGAATAAAAATTTAAAAAATTTTGCCGCATCATTTATTTCAAATTTAAAAAAAAAACAATGCAACTTCGTGACTGGAAATACATTTTCTTACAAAAACAATAAAATTAAACCAGTTTTTATACAATACTTACAATATTCTTGCCAAATAAAAACAATGCCTCCCTCATCAATAAAAAAAAAAGCATTATTATTGTTCTGCTTAAAAAAAATAAATAAATAAACCGCCGACCTTCATCACTTTTATTTTGGATTGGATTGGATTGGATTTATTCGGTGTAAACACCAAGGATAGCCCACGAAAGTCTAGAAGAAGACTTATTTCCAGTGGGGTCCTTCTGGTGGTGATTGGGCAGTACACCAGGAGACAATCCCTACTCTATTTTCCGAAGAGCGTACTGTGTTCTTTTAAGTGCACATGAGCCATAAATGCACACCGGACCAGCGGCTTAAACGTCTCATCCGAAAGACGGTGCTCTATTGTAACTTGTATGTCAGCCCTCCAACTGAAACACAAGGAGAGGCAGCGATTGAACACACAGTGGCTACCACCAGATTAGTTGACTGAGCTAACCTGCTCTCTATGTGCCTTAAATCGAGAACTTTAATGACAGTAAAGTGAATGCTCTGACAATTACTAATGAAAATATTAATTAGACCTAAATCTTGATTAAGTTAGATATCAACTCATGGGAACTAACAGTAAACATGCAGCTGTGTGAACATTCCTTCATTTGACACTGACACTAACAATCAGTTTTTTTTAGTAAGCTACATATGTTCACTTGTTGGTAGTTGTAGGCAGAGAAATAATTCATAAATTTTTTTGGAGCTTGAAGTGTGATGAGGCGAAATTGGTTTTCACAGTCTCAATCTTCCACCTCGCATCGTTTAGGTACTTGTATATTCTATTATAAACATTTTTGATGATATGTTGCCTGTAAACTAATAGAGACTACAAAAATATTCATAATACTTATAGCCTCTCTGGTGATGGGTGTTTTTTATTTATTTTTATGTGTTCACATTTATTTGTGTCACGCAGTATATTCGTACTGATCAGGTCCAAAAATTAAAATCAGTACCCCAAGTACAGTAGTTCACACTGATGAAGACATTGGTGCCAAATACTGTACAATTAGTATTCCTAAAATACTTTATTAATTATTCATTATTTGTCTTTTTTTCTGTTACAGTTATGTCAGTCCTTTTAAAGACACTGTATAAAGAGCTAAGTCCCCCATAGTTATTGTACTGTATGTACAGTAATTATATGGTTACTGTAGGTTCATATGTGCATGTCCATTGATCATTACCGTATGTATTTTAAATGCAGGTAGGGATGTTGTACATAAAATTTTAGGTTTTAGGGCCTAAAATAGGGTTTTGTTTTTTTACTCTACAACTTCACTAAACAACTATATTGAATTTACAAAATTTTTAAGCTGTTCCTAAACAGTGGTGGCGGCAGGGGGCCATTTTTCCATCTTGTCGTTCAACGATTTTTTTACTCCAGGCCATCGGCTGAGGCTTTGTCGTCGCCTTCGTTCGGACCCCTCCGTCGGATGTGTTGGACCCCTTGTTGGCAAATTTCTGGCGCCACCGCTGTTCCTAAAGTCGGGCACTCTGCATCATACAACCGTCGCACAACGAATGCAACTTCGCTCCCGTGAGCACTAGACGACGCGACACCGTCTGTTGATTAGCGGTTGCAGTCTGAACGGATCGTCATTAAAACGATCTGATGCATACGTGTTGTCACGTTGCTTTCTTATACAGTAATCGAGTCGGCCAACGAACGTCGGGTGCAGTGATTGCTTGGCTTAACAGATTAAAAATATATATTTAATTCCATTTTCCTTATTCCTTTGAAAGATTTAGACTGGATTGTTGTTGATATTTTTTATTCCCATTTCAATAACCATGAAACAATAACATAAGTCATCAATAATTATCTGTAAGGTCCAACAGATTTTGTTCATTATATAAACTGTACTGTAAATAACTCAAATAGCCTTTGATTTTAATGAATGTGCTTATTGTTTTATTAATTGTTTAATGATTTATTGTGAGGATTATTGTTATATTGCTTACTGTTCCTTTCTGTTGTAATTGTTAAATTCTATATTGCTTAATACTGTTCCTTTCTATTGTAATTGTTAAATTGATTTGCTATTGAGCTTGTTGCTTACAGTACAGTATTTAATTTACTGAGCCATATGGCATACCATAACATATGCTAACTGAACTGTATACAGTACAGTAGTTTAGATATCGTACTGTATAGTACTAATGGTTACAGCCATTAGATGTAGTGATAAAAGGTCATTGTAGCTATTGATTCTCCCTTCCATATGGTTGCAATACAATATTCTGATTCGTCATTTAGGTGAGACATTTTTATACCTGTTTATGATTCCAGAATCCACTACCCACCAATGGTTATTAAAAAATAAATAAAATGTTATTTTTGCTTTTTATTGTACCTGCCACCTTAAAAAGTTGTGCTTTTGTTGTCAAGAAAATTTTAGTTTTTCCTCCTACAGTAGATGTGCTTTGAGGCTTTCTCCTGTTTTCCACCACAAAAATCATATATTCACATTCTTTTGCTAGGTCTTGTCATTTTTTAATACAATAACATGTCCAAATTACGTACTCCTCCGGCCGAACAGGGTTCATAAATAAGAAAATTTGTAATTCAGAGAGTTGAAATTTTCAGCGTCTCTGTGGTGAGGGTAGGCCTTGGCTATGCTACAGAGTACAGGGCTAGGTAAGCCTAATTTTGTCACGAAATATGACTTGGATATTACTGTTTTCTGCAACAAAATACAGTAATAATTTAAGAAGACAGAATTACCTGTGCTCAGTGTGAAGTATTCATTTGAAGTGATTTCCGAATGAAAACATGGCCATGAATGCCCAAAACGAGTGTTGTTATTCTTTTCATAAAGATCACGAATCCATGTGAATAGCGCCCCCAGTGACCAAAATGGGAGATTTACTGTACAGTATGCCTTAACAAGCATGCACAGCTCAAATATAATATACTGTATCTCGGCTGAAAGTGATTGATATTTCTTGCTTTAAACTTAAATTTATATCATTTATTGGTTTGAATGTTTTTCTCTTAGTTGATGTAACAGTTTAAATTATTTTGGAAGACTTTAAATACATTTTAAAGTGTTTTTTATACAGTAGTTAATAACAATATTAATGACGCCATCGCCACGATTTTGGTTCGTAAAATCAACAGTTTGTAATTGGGAGACGTTACTGTAGTCAATTTTTTAGGCATGTGTGATCAAATGGAGTGAAAGCCCAAGTAATTATGTAGAAGTGAAGATTTTGTTTTTTGACTGACACTGAACTGACTACCTTAAAATCTCGAATTGAAGCCCTGGGCTTCTTATTTTTTTTGCGAACTTTAGATGAGTTTCTTTTAATACAAGGCTACTTTTGCAAAGTAAAGAAGGGGGGGGGGGGCTTCTTTTAAAAATGAATGCTGTAAATTTTGTGAATTTGTACTATGAAACAATAAATAAGGCCACTGACATAACATCAATCTGTATCGTGGAGTGTATTTAACTGGCATTAAATCACCAAAACTACTGTATAAACCAAGCTTGTTTTCACTTTATTTTGTTTTTTGAAATTGATGTACAATGTACTGTATGTATAGATACTACAGCTGTCTCTTATACACATCTAGATGTGTATAAGAGACAGCTTATATATAATGCTTAAAAAGTTGTGCTTTTGTTGTCAAGAAAATTTTAGTTTTTCCTCCTACAGTAGATGTGCTTTGAGGCTTTCTCCTGTTTTCCACCACAAAAATCATATATTCACATTCTTTTGCTAGGTCTTGTCATTTTTTAATACAATAACATGTCCAAATTACGTACTCCTCCGGCCGAACAGGGTTCATAAATAAGAAAATTTGTAATTCAGAGAGTTGAAATTTTCAGCGTCTCTGTGGTGAGGGTAGGCCTTGGCTATGCTACAGAGTACAGGGCTGGGTAAGCCTAATTTTGTCACGAAATATGACTTGGATATTACTGTTTTCTGCAACAAAATACAGTAATAATTTAAGAAGACAGAATTACCTGTGCTCAGTGTGAAGTATTCATTTGAAGTGATTTCCGAATGAAAACATGGCCATGAATGCCCAAAACGAGTGTTGTTATTCTTTTCATAAAGATCACGAATCCATGTGAATAGCGCCCCCAGTGACCAAAATGGGAGATTTACTGTACAGTATGCCTTAACAAGCATGCACAGCTCAAATATAATATACTGTATCTCGGCTGAAAATGATTGATATTTCTTGCTTTAAACTTACTTTTATATCATTTATTGGTTTGAATGTTTTTCTATTAGTTGATGTAACAGTTTAAATTATTTTGGAAGACTTTAAATACATTTTAAATTGTTTTTTATACAGTAGTTAATAACAATATTTAATGACGCCATCGCCACGAATTTGGTTCGTAAAATCGACAGTTCGTAATTGGGAGACGTTACTGTAGTCAATTTTTTAGGCATGTGTGATCAAATGGAGTGAAAGCCCAAGTAATTATGTGGAAGTGAAGATTTTGTTTTTTGACTGACACTGAACTGACTACCTTAAAACCTTGAATTGAAGCCCTGGGCTTCTTCTTTTTTTTTTTCGAACTTTAGATGAGCTTCTTTTAATACAAGGCTACTTTTGCAAAGTAAAGAATGGGGGGGGGGGGCTTCTTTTCAAAATGAATGCTGTAAATTTTGTGAATTTGTACTATGAAACAATAAATAAGGCCACTGTAACATCAATCTGTATCGTGGAGTGTATTTAACTGGCATTAAATCACCAAAACTACTGTATAAACCAAGCTTGTTTTCACTTTATTTTGTTTTTTGAAATTGATGTACAATGTACTGTATGTATAGATACTACAGTATTTCAAAAAGAAGCCTATGCTATGTTGAAAATTTCTAGGGTAATTTTGCAAACTAAAGAGGGCTTCAATTCAAGATGGGCTTCATCTCGAGATTAAGCCCATTGAGATTTTACTTTATTGTAATTTCAATTTGGCATTTGCTTAATTTTTTTTTACATTTTTCTTTATGATACCTGTTGATGTTACAGTGCTGATTGCTTTTTTAAACATTTTTAATACTTTTAATGTCCTAATTGTTACTCAATATTTTTTTAGAAACTTTAGGGAAAATGGGAATCAAGTTCAAGTTTGTTTTATTACATGAAATCATTTGATTTCAGTCAGTATTTGGATTGGCTCCTTCAACTTGAGCAGTATTAATTTATCAATTCACATTGACCAAATTTTAGATACCGTGGCATTATATTTTAAAATTCTGATGATGTTATATAAGAACACTATATAACCCAACTTATTTTTAAATTTGCTGTGCATCTTATCCCCAAAACTACAGTAAATTTGTGCTATTTGTGAACTACAATATTATTTTCTTAGGGGGTGCAAGTCGTGGAGGTAGTGAAGCAAATGAAGAAGACGTTGAGAACGATTCTGGAAGCGTGACCAGCAGCCATGTATCAGATCCAGGAAGCATTGTAGATGATGGTATCATCGTTGGTAATGATGGGGTGGATGAGTCCATGGCCCAAGAGGATTTTGAGGAAAAACTGAAAGAGGCCATAGATGGTACCACACAAAAGAGGTACTGTAGACTGCAATACTTACTTATTTTGGTGATGGTCAATTGCCAATTTTCTCAAGGGGTCTAGGGACTGCAGAGGAACCCAGTCGGGTATGAGCAACTACACTTGAGGGGTTTCTGTGTGAAGCCCCTCAAGTTACATCTTTTTTAGGTGTATAAATGACATTTTTCCAACACCCTTATTAGTTATTTGTTCACGCTAGTTAGTAGCAAGGGCCCTGATAAGGTTTGGGTGCCAGTTTTCTCCTTTCTCTTCTCTTGTCGCAACTGGTCTGATATTCCAATTTTCTATTTTTAGTATAGATGTAACATGGTTCTTGTCCTATTGCTCTGTCCTTGTGTACATTATATATGTTTGAACGCTATTTGTGTCATCGTCCTGTTAAAAACTGTGTGGGATTTTTGTACTGTATATGATAATATTATTCTTGTATTCTTTCAGTGCACAGGGACGGCAGAAGTGCTTGGCGGCCGTACAGGCTGGACTTTCTAAGAAATACCTCCAAGACTTTGTTGATGGGAGAAAGGTTACCATCTTAGATTGTGTAGAGAGATGCATCAAGAAAGGTAAGGTAACAATTAGCAGGCTAAGTTCCCATCTGCATGTAATATTTCCTTACCATAATTTCTGGATTTAAACCTACATTGGGTATACTGTATATCTGCCCCCAAACAGTAATTGTCATGTCAGTCGAATGCAAGTTTAATGCCTGAGTGGGTAAGGCAGGGGTGCCTCTGGTTTGAACGGCATGCTCACCTGTGGTTCTGGAGTTGGAACAAGTCTTCTTGGATGAGGACTATAAACCGTAGTCCCAGTGTACACAATTAGCTCATGTGCGCTTTAAAGGACATCTTTCGAGATGAGTAGGGGGTTATCCCAGTGTACTGGTCCATATAGCCCCAGTTGTAGACTGATGAGAGTACTGTAGCTGGCACCTAATTTCAAAGATTTTGAATGGATTATATGTGCCTCAAATAATGATTCTAAAAATGTAATGGATGCATAAATAATATGGTTCCTACTATATTTTCTGGAATACACTTTTAAATTGGATGTTCATTAATAAATAATAAACATTAAAATTTCTGCAAGTCGGTGAAAACAAAATTGTATCACTACATGTCTCATTGGAAGTTTTAAAATCTGTTCAGTTTATCATATTTTCCTTGACAAAAAACTGTTGTATATCCATATAGTCATGATGTGCCTATATATGGTCATGATGTTTCTGTATATGGTTATGATGTGAAGTCATCATGACCATATTTAGGCATAATATAAGACAAAAAATAAATGGTTGTATTGCCCTTTACCAAAATTGGAAAATCATGGTGAGGGTTTTTTGTTTTTCTTTTTTGATATTTAAAAAACATTATTTAAAACGGAAAACTGAGGCGACCCTCAACCCATTCTCCCTGCCATCTTACCATACAAAACGTTTGAATCGCGTAAATGTGACTGTTGTGTCTGACTTGTATGACCCTAAAATTTCTTAGAGGATTAACATACTATATAAATACACAAACACAGAAAGCAGCAGAGTTACTGAGAACCCAGGAAAACGAAAGTGCTTGATGTGATATGCAGTGAAAAAATACAAGAATAATTATTCAGTACGAACATCCCACACATTTTGTTTACAGGACGATGGCATGAACAGTGTTCAAACACATTATGTACACAAGGACAGATCAATAGGGCAAGACATATCATTCATGCTCAAACTTGGCTTGTTGATTCAGCCTTTCTCTATAGAGTATGCAATAGCAAGAGGTCTGACTGCTAAGGTTTCTTTGAAACGGAATCCTATCTCGAAAAATACAAATACGAGCTAGAGGGTGCCCTTCAAAAAAATGCATGCTGCATCTATGATGATGAAATTTTGAACTCTAATAGTGCTTTTTTTGTTTCAATGAGTGCATGCAAAATCAGGTTTTAATGCCTTTATTAAAAGGGGATTTAAATAACATGTATTATAGCTTGGAAACAACTGTTTTGAGTGAAATCTGAAAGGTAGATTTAAAAGAAGAAATTTGACCTACAGACCCTCAAAATGTTGGAGCCAAAAGGGCAGTACAACATTTTTTATTGGACCAAATAATAAAAATATATAAACGTGTGCAAGTCAGTGAAACCATAATTGTTTCAATACAGTTTTTAAAGCTCTGTCCAGATTATCAAATTTTCTTTGACAAAAATACTGATATATACCCATACAGTATATAGTCATGATGTGCCTATATATGGTCATGATGTGATGTCATCATGACCATATTTGGGCATTTAACATGTTTTTGTCAAATAAAATTTGATAGTCTGGACAGGGCTTTAGAAAAGAATTTTTTTTTTCACTACAAAGCACACTACTCTAAAACATGGACGAAATTTCGTAACCTTACCGATTGTAATTTTTTTCTACTTTTGCTCATAAAAAATTTTCTTGGGAATGTTATTTACTCCAGGTAAGGGAGAAGAACAGGCATTAGCAGCAAATGTAGCCGGTCTAGTATTCTTGAGTCTAGGTGGAGGCCTTGAGTGCCAAGATTTGTTTAGTAAGTTGAAGGTGCTGTTACAAACCACTCTTGCTGATAAGAATGCCTCACCGAAGGCTCGAGCTGCTGTAAGTTTTTTGCATATAACCAAAGAACTTAAATAACAGAAGAATGAGCTGCTCCGCGTATTTGCATTAAAATTGATGAAACATCCGCCCTCCTGCGGATGAGGTAAAATTTGAACATTTTACTAAGTGGAGAAACTACAGGAAACAAATGAACCCGAACGGAGCCTTTATGATTGCTATATAGCGCCGCCGCGCGGATAAGGTAAAATTGCTCTCCGTGTACCCACAATGCCTTTTGAACGGATGTATTGGGAAGCTGCTCTATCTTCTGCTATTTATTATCTTTGATATAACTTTTTTTTTTTGGTTTTTTTCCACTATAACTTGGATTGGATATGGAAAATATACAAACCAATCAAAGAATATAATGAAGTTTGAGAGCTGGTGTAAATGATGATTTGTTCAATAGATCCTGCTGACACAAAGTGTACTCAAGTGGGTTGGATTGGATGAAGATAAATAAAGGACTGATGCACCACATAATGATTATGATGAAACCACATTTTTTGTGCTGCATTTTGGATCATAGATTCCCCTAGGAACCAGAATTAAATGATATTATTTTTTGTTGAGCTAAGAACTCAATTGAAAACAAGAATATATTATTATATCGCTAATTTTTGTTGGGGTTACACAATAAATATAAAACAAGCTATATGTTACCAAGTCACAACAAAAGTTTTAAATTAAGTTTCGATCATTATGCTAAATCTCAGTTTTTGTTTTAATTGACAAACCAACCTTGTTTGTAACAAATGCTGACATGTTTATGGACCAGAACAATTTTGCTCTGCGTTTGCAGTATGTGTATATACAATGTGTGTGCCTACTTGTTGTTGTTTTAAATCCAACATGACTGTTATTTACCCTATACCCTCAGATGTTTTTAGTGTTGTTTTCTTACATGGAATATGTTTATGTTGCAGTGTGCCACCGCCTTGGGCTTATGCAGTTTCATTGCTGCTGGCGATATGCAGGTAAAAAGTCTTTTATCTTGTTTGTCATAATTGTTATTTTTCATGTGTGGAATGAACCATAAGTAAATAGTGGAGATAACTCATGTCAAAATTTGATGTCTACAATTTCAAGCTATCATGCCTCTCAAATATGTTGACACTATACAAATATTTTGTATTGATTCCATGATTGAAATAAATACTAAATTTATTATTATGATGTCAACCTCTGGCTCAATTCAACTGTAAACTGTTTAGATAATTACACATTAAATAATTTGGGAACTCCCCATGTGCATTTGGCCCAATACAAATATTTGTTTAATCAAAAGGTAAACAAGTAGAGAATAGATTGAGCATCATTAATTAATGATGTATTTTTTTAGCTTATGTAGTCTAAACCATGCCTTGGCAAATGCTGTGGCTAATTTATGGCTGGTTATGAGAGGAATTATATTTTTAGTACATTTCTTCCCTGTCATATCATTTCCTTTCAAAATATGTGCGAATAGACATAGATCCCTCCCAGTTCCAACCCCATTTTCACTTTTAAATGCTGTAATTTTAGAAGTTTGTTTCAAAATGTAGATCAGAGATGGGTATAAAAATGCGTTGGAGGCCGAAGTAAATTTTTGATAAAACACGGAGGGTTGCACTTGAGCTTTGACACTTCTAGAAAAACCTTCATGCAGTGCTATTATACCACTTTATGCTCAGTTTTAATGTTAATTTATACAGATAGTGTTGGGCTGTAAGTGGTTTTATAGCCATAAATGGTAGACAGTGTTGTTGCCTGCAGCAAAGAATTTGCCAACGACCCGCGTAAAACCTGCGGGCTGCAATTTGCCCACCTGTGATATAGATTGACAAACAATTGTTTTTTTTCTATTTTAGGTTGTGATAGAATGTATGGATAATTTGTCGCAGGTGTTTAGTGCTTCCTTTCTTAAGGGTGACGGTTCAGTTCCCTCACATAGTCCAGGTATTCACGCTTTACATTGTGCCGCATTGTCCGCATGGACTTTACTACTATCCATCGCTCCGCAAGTTTATATAGAACGCATCACCTACACGTGAGTTTTCTCTGCTTTTTTAATGCACTTTACTATAGTATTTGTCAAATATTAAGAGGGTAATTTGTTTTCAGACTTTGAACTGTACATATTTGTGAATCCTGGAATTGTGTACACAAAAGTAGATTGGATAAGATTAGATGTTGCATGTTGCATATATTTTGTAATGTTCATGTGATGACATGTATTGTTCATGTGATGATAGCAAATTCAAAGAGGTCTGACTGCTCTGATTTTGTATGCATGCAATGAAACGTTAATAATGTACTACCACGAGATAGGAGGCTCCCTGTTGATGTTCCTTTGTGAACGACGCCCTCTAGATCGGGATAGTACTTTTTTGAGATAGGATTGCATTCCTAAAATTTTTTAAGGCCCAAAATAGTTTTGATCAGTTTTACTGAACTTATCCACCTTCACTACCAATTATTTGGATAGAGAATACAATGTTAGTGTAAATGATGATTTACACTGATCATATTTTTCTTCTGTCTTAAAAACTAAATTTCAGTATTATTTCATTTTTTTTTTCAGACATTTTTATAGGCTTCCAGAACTACTTCAGAGTGAGGATGTAAATGTACGCATTGTAGCAGGCGAAGCAATCGCGCTATTCTACGAACTTCACAGAGAAATTGATGAGGTAACTGACAGACTCGGCTTAACCTCAGTCTATACCCATTATCAGGCACAAAATAAATGTATTCTACAACTGTTCTTTATATGTAGTCACAAAGACAAAACTTCAAGACTTTCCGGTACCCAGTGTTTCATAGTAACAGACACAAGTTAAACAATTTTACATCTGTCATTCTCATTTGTTGTAAAGATTATAACTGGTACTGGTATTGGAATTTATAACGCGCCTCTTCCTTGCGGTTATAAAGCGCAGTTGTTTTCCCTGGTCATTGGGCCTACAAGTGTTGCTGCTGGTAAACAGCGCAGAAGCAGACACCCCCTCCAGGTACCCATTTATATTCCTGGGTGGAGAGAAGCAATGCAGATAAAGTGTCTTGCTCAAGGACACAAGCGAAATGCACAGCGAGGGATTGAAACCCCGACCTCAAGGTTTGGAAACCAAACCGTTCTCACTGCGCCAAACCGCTTTCATCTTATTTAGTAACCTGACGGAACTGGTGTAAATGATGATTTGTTCAATAGATCCTGCTGACACAAAGTGTACTCAAGTGGATTGGATTGGATGAAGATAAATTAAGGACTGATACACCACAAGTTAATAATATTTAATTGGAAAACCAAAAGCTTAAGTTTAACCATACTATGTTTCCTGGCCTTGATGCACTTACTATTGCACAATGAGCTAATCTTCTAATCAGTAAATTTAATTTATTTCAGGACTTTGTAGGAGAGAATTTACAAGAGCTTTTAGCCTTGTTGAAAGAACTAGCCACAGATAGTAACAAATTCAGAGCCAAGAAGGACAGGAGAACCCAGAGATCTAGCTTTAGAGACATCATCCGAACAATAGAGGTTTGTTACATATTCGTTTTGTAATTTTGATTAAAAAAATAATTAAAGGTTATTTTGTAACCACCTTTTTAATCAAAGTTCTTGTGGTCTTTAATTGAGAGGGCAATGGTCATGTGCAACTGTTTCTTTAAGAACTTAAGAGTGACTGCTTCGAAGTTGTAATGTGCTAACCTACTCTGTAATTGAGAGGTCTTGTGCGCCACCTCTTTAAGAGGTTATGAGTGACTGCTTCTCTAAGGTGTAATGTGCTAACTGCTTCTATAATTAAGAGGTCTTGTGCGACTGCCTCTTTGTTTAGGAGAGCTCATGTTAGACTGTGTCTAAACACTGTTATGTGCAACTGTCTCTTTAAAGGAGAAGTCATGTGTGACTCCCCTTTAAATGAAAGGTCATGTGTCTGCCTAAGAGAGGTCATATGCAACTGCCTCTTTAAATGGGAGATCATATACCACTTCCTTTGGTCACATGTTATTGTTTTGCAGGAGACCCCGCACCTTGAACTAGTTTATATTCTACACATCCTGTTGAATGTTTTGCCTGCCATGCCCTTTCCACTGCTTCTTCATTTAGAAAAATATTCTTATATGTGCAAGTGCAAATACACAAGTGTTTCGCTGAGATGTAGTGTTCCTGCTCCTTGTGCTGAATGACCATGGTTCACATGAGAGTAACGCTTGATAAGGAACAATGTGCCCGTTACATGTCGGTACTGCACTGCAGGAGCCGTAGGGGTCCAAGCTAAAATTTCCAATTTCAAATATTTATAACTGGACAAAAAAGAAATTTTTTAAAATATTTTTTTATGTAGTCACAATCCATCAAAATGTGATGTTTATTGAATTAGGATGATAGTTAATGCAATGGGATTTTCTGACAAATTGCCAGTACCAAGTAAATGTTTTTTGTCAATTTTTGTACTGAATTACATTGACTTCCTATATCAAAATTTAACATATCTTTCCCAGAACAGCCATACATATTCTATTGCAGTATATCATTTATTTCCTGTCCATAACCCTTTCTATAGTAAGAATTGTATAGAGGGTGTCATCCCACTATATTACCTGTCAAGGAATTCAACAAACATTATATACTGTATATAAAAAGATTATTGCCTGTAAAGTAATTGGCCCTAAAGTGCCAACCAAGAGTTAGCAATTTGGCCAGCAATAAAACTAAATTACCATACAATACTCATCAGTTTGCCCTCAACAATTTTTTTGTTGGACGAATTAACTTGTCCATGGCAGTGTTAAAAGGCAGATATGATGCTGCACCTCAGCTAAGAGGGAGCACAGGATTTTTTCATTTTCAGCAGACATCAGGATTAATATGATTATCTATTTTCATCAACTTAGTGCATAAACCTCACATACAGTAAATATGAACATTATTTCTGATTAGTAATGATGTACTTTTGCTGTATAAACTGAACACGAATGACTTTGCATAACATGTTGTATTAGGAGGAAGCACTAACCTACTGTAGGCCTATACTATATCATTATCTTATTTTTTGGTGTCTCATCACATTTATGAAAAATTTTGAGTGGTGACAGAATAGAAAGTGAAACTTCGAAAAGTAAAAGGATACTTTCTTGACATTGTTCTATTGTTCTTTACTTAATTAATTGAATTGTTATTTTTCACTTACAAAAACTGCAAGCATCCTTGTATAAGTGATCATTATTTCCAATACGTTTCCTTGTCTGATTTTTTTTTTTATTCTGAGCTATTGAACTTCTTATGCATACCACTGTTTACCAATTACAGTATACCAGTTGAATTTAAACCTATGTAGTATATGGTTTGATAGCATCTTTGTTTTGACATTAATTCCTGATTTTTCATTCGTTTATTAAAACAGGAATGTACAATCTTAATAATTATTCTATTGTCCTCCCACCTTGATTTATTATTTTTGCTGTAAATTGCTATTATTGTTGCTGTTATTGTATGTATATTTTTTCTGAAGGAATACGAAGCGCCTTTTGAACAGGTAAAGTTTGGTACCGAGTTCATCGAAATCGACAGTTGGTCACGGAGACGTCAATATGGAGTCTTCCGTGAGGCATTAAGTTCTGGTATCAACACGCATTTACGAGAAAATGAATTAGTGCGGGACATTTTTGATCTTGGTGCTCCTGTTCTTCCTCTACCTCATTCTAATAGAGGTAGCAAGTTTGAAAGGGTATGTAGTATTTTGGTATGAAATTGAATTAGGAAAAATATTATCTATAAACCCAACAGACTTAGTATTTCTTTCTTCGTAGGAGTGATGTTTTGCCCTACCTGACGTGTTATCGTACCGAATACTCAGTACGTCCTAAAATACTTGCGAAAAAAATTTGAAAGTGATTTGGGTGAGAATCAAACCCACGACCTCCAGATAATTAGCCAGGCCCGATAACCACTAGACTACCAAGATTGCGCTTGGTGACTAGTGTTGAATCCAGTCCCTAAGTAGCAGCAGGTACTACAAATTCCATTTCGATGTGAGTTTGCATCCGAAAAATATGACAGCAGGGATGTTTTGCCCTACCTGATGTGTTATCGTACTGAATACTCAGTACGTCCCCAAATACTTATAAAAAAAATGTGCAAGATTGTATTCTTGTAATTAAGCTGAGATAAAAATTTGTTGTATTGCTCAAGTACCGCTACATTTTAAAAATTAGGGTTGGTTAGTTTTTTAGGTTTTACCAACTAGCAGTTAATTCATACCTTTTGAAAGGTACAGTGATAACCACAAAGCTAAAAAATCTGTCATTAAGCTAATAAGATTAAGCTAATAAGTTTATTAAAGCTTGAAAAGTGGCTGTTTATTTTTACCTTTAGTTTGGCTGCTTATGCAATTTTAGGCCAAATCACAGTTGTTTTCATAAATAAAAAAAAAATTGTTTGTACGTAAAGACTTTTTTCAAGTATTCAAGTTTATTTTTACTACAGACTGAACACATTTGTTACATTACTAAATATCAAATGATTAATATTTAATATGATCGTCTTTAATATTTTTCTTTCAGACTAAATACAATGCAGCAGCATTCAAAGCAAGAACTAAGGTTAGAAGCAAACAGCGTGATAAGCGAATTGCTGTATACTAATGATGTAGCAGTACCATGAAGCATGTTTTCCACTTGTCTGCAAGTTTCGTAGTATGCGGCACACACTCACCTCATTTATTTAACCAGATGGCGTATGGTGCTAACCGCATTGTATCTTTAGCTGAAAAACAAACTTTTACTAAGAAAATTTGTTTAAACAAGAACTTCCAGAGATGACTTCTTTAAACTTGGGACCCCTGTATGTGACAAATATGTGACATGTCATTTTGCCCATATATGGGCATGATGTCATATCACACCCATATTTGGGAAAATGTAATGAGTGTGCACTGAGGCATTAAGAACCTTGTAGCCTCTGGTTAAATGTCATGCTGCTACTATTGTGTTTCAGTTAAAAGCTATAAATGCAAGTTACAGAGTACATCCAGTACATCATCTTCCAGAGGAGATGGCTAATTGGTTTGTCACACATGCATCAATGCCTTATGTGCACCTTAAAAATATTTGGTACATTTTGACAATAAAACAAATTGTATACTCAGTTTAAAATGTCATTTAATCTTTTCCAGTGGAAAACATGCTTTTATAATGTGCAATTATTCGTCTGTTATATTTGTGTAGGTTGGCATATACTTGCCCTGGGCCGTATACTGCCAGTAAGCTCTTAAGCTCTATCCACACTATCAAATTTTCTTTGACAAAAAAATGTGACAAGCCCATATATAGTAATGCTATGCCTACATATGGTCATGCTGTGATGTCATCATGCCCATATATGGGCATATCACACTTTTTTTTGTCACAAAATTTGATAGTGTAGACAGAGCTTTAACTCTTTTGCTGTGTTCTAATTTGAATGTGGGCAGCCATTTTTTAAAAATAGAGAGCAGTGGGTAGGCTAGAGCCTAGTATATTGTAGAACTTAAAGAGACAGTCCTATAATTTTTAGTGTCAAAATATCGACTTAGTTTTTGCAAACTCAGTAAGGAACCAGACCAGTAATAATGATATATAAAATATAAAGTTATGCCATTGAATCTCTTTACAGTTGTCATTATCTGGCATGATACTAGCCAAACATTGGGTGCTAATATAATGCCTTGTAATACCTCACCGCCAGTGAAAGAGTAATTAATGGTATAATTAATATTAGTAGAACTTAATTTAAATGGTCACATGCTATCTTCAGACAACCAAAGACTCGCAAAATTAAGGACAAATATAAAAAACATATATATTTCCTGTCTGTAGTTTTTCTAAAACTTTATGTGGGAGGCAGTTATTCATTTGGTAACCCCGGACATTTTGTAACTAAAAAATTTGAAACGTCTGAGTTACAAAATGTCCGTGGCAGTGTTACAAAAAGTTGACATCCTTTTGGGTAGATCGGCTTGCAATGAGCTTGCTAAACTGTGGCATTCCATGCTTAGTAAATCTCTCATTGAGTGTTTTTTAATGACATGTTCTTATATGTTCTCACCCACCAATATTTTCTCATGCTTACTCGTTTCTTATCAGCTCCCAGTGCTGAGTCTGTTTAAAAGTAACAAAAAAATATTGACATCTGGCCAGTAATGGACCTTTCTAAATTGTCACTTAACAATGGAACTCAAACTACTTAAACTTCACAACAGGGAAGTCAGGACAGAGCCAACAATGTGTACGCTTCTCACAACCAGGCATATCCCACAAACGCCCATGTTCACGTACATTAACATCATTTTTGACACCATTGCAACAATGTACAAGTGGCGAGAGGTCCATTGATGCAGACAGAACGCAAATGATTAGTTTTTTGGCCTTAAGACTAATGTACAATGATTTTTGATACTGGATTGTAGATTGTGTACAACGTTTTATCTGAGAACATATTCTATAGATTTGCTAATGATAATTACACAGTGAATGTATTACAGCACCAGTATTTTATAGAATTGTAAACCATGAGAAATATTATATTAATATAACAAGCACGGTTTAGAACCAGTTCAGGTATACAGAAAAGAAATATTTTTATTGATGGGTATTTTAAAATGATACATCCGATGATATTGTTATTATATGATTCTTTATCTATACATAAATTTAAAGTACAGTAATTGATATGGATGTCATTGTAAGTTAAGCTTTTGGCTATGTGTCTTGAAATGAAAGCCTACAGGCTGTTTTCCACTTGACGAATTTATTCGCACAAATCGTAAGCTTTGGTTCATGCGCAGCACTTTCACATTTCTATCATTTTTTTGCGTCGGTTCAAACTGTTTAAAAAAGCTTTAAAAAAATGGGCAACGAATCAGAGCTCAGGAAGCGAACCGATGATGTTGATTCGCACGAATATATTCGCCTAGTGGAAAACAAGCTTAGAGTGGTTTAAAGGAAACAGCGTTTATGGAGCATTATGGGCCTGATTAAAGACAGAACAGTATGTAGGAGGAGACTGCATAATGGCCCATATTTTTGACAGCTATTTGTAGTGTGATTCAACAAGACATTTTGTCCCATCATCTAAGCACAGATTATGTTGGATAGTATACAAATACAATATGGTTTGAGATGAAGTAGTAAATTCTGAATATCGACGAGTATTTTTACTAAATATAATACTGTACTGTAAATCCTTGAAATGGCGCTGCTCTCAAATAAGCGCTGCACCAAACATGATTTCTTTTTTGCTAAGTGTCGTTCTCAAATAAGCGCCTCACTGAAGCCTACAAAAGTGTTGTAAGCGCCACAGCGTGTATTCAAGGATTTACGGTAGTTGGAAAAAGTATCGAATTAGGTTACTGGTGCATAGATGTTTTAATGTATTTTCGTTTGATTTCAATGTGTAGAATTCTTTATCGGGATATAATTGTTTAATAATTATATTACATCACTATCTAATATGAAATTGTATACATGTTTGTATTATATTGTGTACATTATAATTATTTCTATTATATATAAATATAATTTATGTAATTTAATAATTGTTACAATAATTATAGAATTATATTGCAAGTGTTGAATAATTATAACTTCGTTTAGATTTGGATAAATCATATCTGATATTGGTTTTATATATTAAGTATAATTATAATTTATGTATTTTAATAATTATTACAGTGTTTATGTAATGATATTGTGATTAATTGTTTAATAATTATATCTGACATTAGAATTATTCTTTTAAGTAAACCAAGAAACATTAAATATACTGTATATATACTGTCTCTTATACACATCTAGATGTGTATAAGAGACAGGGGCATACATTCATCCCTCTGCATATTGAAAATGTTAGATCCTGATCTATGCATTCCTAGTTGACAGAACTACAGCATATAACACCATTTGCATCCATGTGCATTTTTGTGACATATACATCCATAAGTTCATAGGTCAATCTGCTAAACTGATGGTTTAGCAGGGGAAGGGGGTGCACCTGAGATCACCTTTTACGGGCTGGCACTTCCTCACTTAATCAGTGAGGCCCCCACTTTACCTTCATGCTCCTATCGCCACTGGTTTCTGTTGATGCACTGGTCACTATAGCTTGTGTGTGTTAAAGATCGTTGTACACTGCTTAAGGAAAGAGTAGATGATTTTTTTTGTTGGTGTAAGCCTGCTGTTCAGACCAATCACCACCTGAATAATAATAATAATAATAATTTTGGCTTATATAGCGCATTATGCTAAAGCCTCAATGCGTTTAACAGTAAAAATAAAATTCGGGGGAAAAAATTAAGAAAAATACAAGTTAAAAAGGTGAATGGCGACACTGTAAGGATACTGCATGCATGCATGCAGTATCCTTACAGATACGCTGAATACATGATTTAATAGTTACATTGCAAGTGTGCATTGATTTGCTACGATAACAAATTTATTTTTTTTTCTCCCACATTTAGTAAGATGAACAATTTTTAGGATCGAAGGTATGCATCATGATCGATAATCTACAAAACTACGTCTGTATTTATTTCTGATATAGTGACATATATGAAGTTTGCTTGAGAAATAAAAGAAAAACAAACTACTGTATTGTGTGTTACATGTCTTTAACTAAAAAACGTCCAACCACTAAATTTATCTTATTAAAGTGTCAGTGCCTATTGCATAATTGGGTGTAAAAAGTCGGTTGCTAAGGCATTTGTGTAGTTACCCAGATTATATTCAAAATTCCAAAAAATGCTGTTTCATGTGCTCTCATTCCGAACTATAACTGAAAGACGACCTATCGCTGAAATTATGCACAACGTCAACATACGAAGCCACGCCCCCTCGGCTGAACCCGTTGTGTTTAGCAACTCGACGTAAACAGACGCTGGTGGCGCTCTCCGAAATTATCTAACGCTGCGAAAAAAATCAATAAATACAATAAAATATAACAAACGAAAAACTCCAAGTATAAATTTCCTCATGATTCAGGCTTTAGTGACAGTCGGCAAAAAGACAAAGTTTACAGTATCTCAACGCGTTTTAATATTTTGGAATCAACAATAGCAGTGGCAATATGCATGCATGCATGTAATCCAAGATTAGTGAAGTACTGTACAGATACAAGTATATTTCAATAGCAAAAGGATCAAAGTAAACATCACTATATCCTGATCCACGCTTCACAAACTATGGGTCGCGACCCAAAAGTAGGTCGCCACACTTTTGCGTTGGGTCGCGAACAGGTTTGCTAAAAACAAAACAAAAGAATCTTCACTTCCTAATTATTTACAGTTGAGTCTTTAACATATCTGACGAACCCTTATTAAAACAATATTTGTTATATGCCCACAATGAATATCTTGGAATTTATCTTATCTTTGTCAGTGCCTTTTGCATAATCAAGGTAGGCCTATGTGTTTCCCAGATAATTCCAAATTTCCAAAAAATGTTGTTTTGTGTGCTCTCGAGCCCTAGCGAAAAAGTAAAGAAAACCTTAATACTTGTAACTCCCATATTGAAGCAAATAAATTCAAAATTTAGAGTATATATTCAACATCATTTATTGCCCAAAACCATAATAAAATCTATAAAATTGGAAATCTGTGTATTAAAATCACCTTTAGCTATTTTATCTGTGACTCGTGAAATCCTTACGCTCGAGTCTTCCATTCATGCTGTAGACAATCAATGCTAAGGCAACAGTCTTCCATTGTAATAATTTCTATATGACGCTTACAAAATAAATCATATACTGAGTACATTATGAAATAATAATATAGTTATAATTTCTCATCACCTTTTTTGCTATATTGGGTTAACATACATTTTCAATAGGCCAATCTTTAATTATATTGTAGATTTCTGATTGGTTCGATCAGATCACATGACTATAGATTGCTGGATACCGTTAACAACGCCTTTAATGGAAGTGTATCATCTGAGGAACATCTTTTCCTGGAATACCGTAGTGAAAGTATTGTAGAAGCCACTCCTGTTTAAGAAAGAAACAAAAAAACCAATTATATTGTCATCAGTATTATCGTTATTGTGTGGTTTCACATAACATATTTTCAGCAAGTTCTGTGGTAGTATCAACTGCGCATGTCCCTGTCTTTTATAGCCTTTTATTAATTAAAAGTTCTTAAAGATATCTGTCTCAATAATCTGCAACAACATACTGTAAAGATTGAACTCGGCCTATTATTAATAGGAGTATAATTTAGTGCAGAACAAGGTTTATGAATGCTTGCTCATATGGCTTCATATTTGACATAAACATGTAGTGGCGTATCTAGGAGAGTGCACTTACTTTGGGTGCGAATGAAATCTTTTCTACCAACTTTTTAGAACAAACATACAACACTGATGTTAAAGCAACTGAATTTGAACCTGTTTGTCACCATCGGTAAACGAAAACACATTACCTCATTTTTGCCCATTGTGCTGTACGTTAGGCCTACATTTTGACTTGCCACAAGTACCTTATTTTTTTTCTCATTCTGAACAGCGCCTCCAACGAGTAAGTTAACGATGGAATAAGGTTTGTCATGGATTTATTCCGAAAAATAGAAATGGAGTATGGGACGCCACTAAAATAAAAAGATTAAATTTCTCGGAATTCACCGAGTAAAACAATTAACTCTCCAGGCTAATTTCAGGTCAACACTGAATGGAGAATTCAGTTTACCAACCAATGAGTTTGCCACATTGGGAATATAATAACTATTGTTGTTTTAATTACATTTCTGCTGATATATTATAAATATATTGTATTTGTGTTGCAAATTATTGCTATAAATTAGTTCTAATTCTACTGTAACTCATTCTTATGTCAATGAAAGTAAAAATTATAAAGAATGTGTGTCATCGTCATTGCGTGAAAACATACCAAAACCCCTATAAACATTATCTACTCTAGGCCCTACCTAAAGGAACTTAGAACTCAATAAATTAACTCATCTAAGACAATTTTTAAGAACACACAAAATAAAAGCAGTGGCGCCAAGGTCGCATGCACAGTAGAACACCTATTAATGGGATACATTTGGGACAGAAAAGTATCCCCTTAATAGGGGTACCCCTGTTTAGGGACACTAACCAAAATGTGAAATCGTTCCCTTAAGAAAGGATTTATTTGTAGTAAATATTGTAATTACTGTATAAATATACACACCACTTATCTATATATTTTTTATTAAGATTTAAAAAAAAGTCCCGATCATTGTTTTTTAGATGTTAGGTTAAATGTTATTCTTATTCTTTATTGTCAAAAACGAGAACATAAACAAACACAAAGACAGTCAACTCAGGGAACATAAATGTGAACAAGATCACTGTAAAGCTTGGTTTCCATAAAAATCCCTACACGCTATCGCCAACTTCTTTCGCGACGCTAATTGGTCAGTTGAATGAGGGAACGTTCTCTCGATTGCGTCGGGGACAGCTACGCAGTGCAATGATTGCAGTGAAAACGCTGTAGCGACTGTGTAGCGATTGTATGGAAACCGAGTAGACTTGCCCGACAAGTCTCTAATTATAGGTTTTCCTAGTATTTGTTAATTTTGGAAAGCGCCACCAGCGACGGTATATATCGAGAAACTTTTATGCTCATCCAAGAAAAAGTATACTATGAAACGCCAAGCAAATAGGTAATATGGAACGCCATTGGTGCCAAAATAGATTTAAAGACAAAGCTTAGGGACTGGAGCCCAGTCTAGGAAACCGAGCTTAACAAAAGTTAAGATTCCTTACTCCCAGAGTAACATGACATTAAATACATAAATAAAAAACATTCGATTTAAGCGAGCGCAGAAATGTTGGAAAGGAATCAAGAATAAGGATTTTTTTATGTCGCTTATCAATCCTGTAAAGTGGCGAGTTCTTTTTTGCTGTTGTTGTGGAATTGAAATAAAATATAGAATACAATGAAATATACCAAAAATTTTACCATTTCATAAAACATATTAACAATATCTGGTGGTTCTTACCTGAGGCATGGAGTCCTGCTGTTGATCTACCGCCTAAAACCATTTGGTGGTGTTCTTTGCGGTGTTGGTCCCGATCCATCTGGTGGCGGTGGTGGTGTTGTTCCTTCTGGTAGTGGGTGTGTTTCTGGTGGTTCTGTTACAGGGTCAGGATCCGGAATTCTGGAGCAGGCCTGGCTAGACCTCGCATAAAGTATCACCATAATGGTGACAAAAACTAGCAGTATAAACTTCTTCATGATTCAGGCTTGACAGTCGGCAATGAATACAAATGTTTTCTCAACACGTTTAAATATTTTGGAACCAACAATTTCCTTATTTACCAACAATGGCAGTGGAATTTACATGAAAAAACCCCCATAGTACTAAGTTCAATGTTTAATCTCAGACGTCCTGGAGATTTAGTTTAATGGGTTATGTAATTAAAAGCCAAAACGAAGACTCAATAAAACCATGGAGGAATTAGTTCCTCCATGATAAAAACAACCCGAGTACTTGCTAATGAGGCATGACGGAATTTTACCAGCAAACCACAATTCAGATTGCTTAATACCATAATCCCCTGGCTCGTAATTTGTTTGAAGGGCTTAATTATTTTTAAAGTTCATCTCACTGGCGCCAAAGATAATCTCCGCCGAGTTGAAAACAATCGCTGTACATTTTGGGTGAAACTCTTTCCGCTAAGATAGGTATATTCGAAGGTTGTTTGGCAATTTCACATTATACTTTTAATTGTACTACCTACACTAACGGTCGGTTGGGTTGGGTCATGATCCAAACTTGGGTAGCGGAAAATTTCTGTGGGGCCGTGTCATCAATTTACGTGGGGACGTGTTTTCAGCTTATGTTTACATTAATTTAGCTGGAGCCGGATTCGTCAAACTAGAAATCAGCTTAAATTCGTCTTAAGTCCATTTTTTTGCTTAAGTCTGATTTATCAATATTGCTTTAACTTAAAAACTGCTTAAACTTAAAAAGTTGATTGTACGCATGCACTATCTAAGACGATTTTTAAGCTAAGATTTTGCTAAAATGGTTTGATAAATCAACTTAAGGTATTTGCTTATGGGCATCTTAAATTTTTTACTTTGTTTCCCTTATATTGTTAGTTTTTCAATATTTTGCCTTGTATGTATATATATATAT